CTGGCTGAGGAATTCTGGGAGTTGAAGTCCACAAGTCTTCAAGTTGCCAAGGTTGGAGACCCCTGCTTTGGAGAGTAATTTGTTAAGAACTGGAGGGGAGAAATAGATGAGCTATCTGAGCCTAGGATAGAAAGAGGTCATACAGATAATCCTCGACTTACAGCAGTTCATTTAGTGACTGTTCAAAGTTGCAATGGCACTGAATAATGTGACTTACGACTGTTTTTCACAGTTACAACCTTTGCAGCCATCCCCACAATCATGTGATCAAAATTCAGAGGCTTGGCAACTGGGTTCATATTTATGAGCGTTGTTGTTTCCCAAGGTCATGTGATCACCTTTTGCAACCTTCTCACAAGCAAACTTAGTGGGAAAAGCTGATTCACTTAGCAACCGGGTTACTAGCTTATCCGTTGTGGTGCTTCACTTAACAACTATGGTAAGAAAGATTGTAAAATGAGACAAAACTCACTTAATAATCTCACTTAACAGCAAACATTTTGGGCTCAATTGTGAACGTAAGTTGAGGACTACCCGTATTCCCAGAAAGAGACAAGATCTCAAACCATGGAGCCCTAGGCCCAACTCTGTTGCTATTCCTGTTTTATTTCTTCTCCGGTCCCCATCAGGACTGCTGGTAGATCAGTAACTATTGACCACAACTCCTCCTTTTGCAGGTACATCTCCATCTTTACTCTCCAGGAAAGGTAGTTTGTCTCATTTAGCTAAGATACCACGAAACCTCCTCCCATTACGCTGACGGAAGCCATGTTGCTTGTTTCCGTTGCAAGCACTAACTACAAACTAACCCCGATTCATAGCCCCTCTGACTCTGGTGGAAGCTCTCACTGGGTTTTTCTTCTCTCTGGTTTCTCTAGTCACTTTGGCCTTCTCTCTGGACTGGGGCCTCTTAAAGTGGTAACGGGTCAAATAACCCTGATGACTCATTCCTACCATGACGTCATCATTATAGCATTACAGTATTACAGCATTGCAGCATCATGGCAGCTGGTCAGCTCTTAAAGTTATTTCCCTGACACTTTCTATAAAACAAACAAAATTAGTTTGGGCTAGAAACACTAGGCTGTAGTGTTCCTAGGAATGAGTATCAGCACTTAATTTCAGAAAGGCACACAAAAAAAGCAAGATGCAAAGCACCTTTCCAATAGTTCCATTGCTGTGGCTGTTGCTAAGCCGATGAAAAGCACATCAAAAATCTTCAGGACTTCACCTCTGAATATACATTTGTTGCATAAGCACATAGAGATAAGCTGTGCCTCCTCTAACAGGTAGGAACAAGAGTTGCCTCCAATCCCCTCCATCTAGCATGACCTTTGCCCTTTGTATCTTGTTCCTGAAAGGGACAAGCCAACCATATTGATGATTAAATAGTTAGCTTGTGGATTAACTGGACGTGCTTAGTCATGATTACTTGTTTTCCTCTTTGACTTTATTCTTTTCCTCTCCCCTTTGACTTTTTTCCTTTCCCCAATAAAACTGCAGTAGAAAAGACCATAGAGCAAGACATTGAGATAAAGATAAACAAATTATCCCCTGGAAGCAATTTTCCATTGCAACATGAGAATTCCCCCATTCAAAGCACTGATCTTGTAGGCAGTGAGAAATCAAATGAGCCCTTACAGCTGTTTTTGAGTCTTTCCAGGTTTGCTAGCTGGGGAATTCTGGGAGTTGAAATCCACACGTCTTCAAGCTGAGCCGCGGTGGCACAGTGGTTCGAGTGCAGTACTGCAGGCTACTTCTGCTGACTGCTGGCTGCCTATAGTTCAAACCTCACCAGGCTCAAGGTTGACTCAGCCTTCCAACCTTCCGAGGTCAGTAAAATAAGGACCCAGATTGTTGGGGGCAATATGCTGACTCTGTAAACTGCTTAGAGAGGACTGTAAAGCAGTATATAAGTCTCAGTGCTATTGTTATTGCTATTGCCAAGGCACAGAAACACTGGCCTAGGCCAAGACTCAAGATCTTCATTCCACTGAAGTAGCATGGCATTCTCCTGCTTTCCTTAACCTCACCTCTCTCTCCCACCTGAAGCAAAGCTCAGGTTCTATGCCAGTACTAATATTGTGCATACTGAGCTCCTTTTCCTTGTAAGCTTTACAAGAATTCATCCTTTTGCTTATTTCCCCAAATATCATTGAAATGAACAATGCAATAATCTCTGGCTGAGTTTGTACAACATTAATGATTGGCTCAGTTAAAGACCTTACAGTCGCAATCACACAATAAGATAAGGTTGATTACTGTTAATTTGGATTGCTTTTAGGGTGACTCAGTCTGTTGTGCAAACTCCATCTATCTAGTTAATTTATGTTTCAACACTGTCAATTTAGAAAATGAATTACTTCAGTAGCTAATTTAAGCATAATATGTAAGCCCATCTGTGATGACAAATGACTGATACTGATAGTTTGTTCTTTAAGAATGCTTGACAATGAAAGTTCCCATAATATTAGCTTATCAAGTTTTTTGCCTGGAACAGCTCTTGCAAGCTCAGGACTAATTGCTTTTTAATCAAAGGGATAAATGGGCTGGCTGGGCTAAGTAATGGTAGTCCTCAACTACCATCACAATAGAGCCCAACCTTTTGGTTGCTCAGGGAAACATTTGTTAAGTGAGTTTTGCTCCATTTGATGACCTTTCTTGCCACAATTGTTAAGTGAATCACTGCAGTTGTTCATTTAGTAACCCAGTTGTTAAGTGAATCTGGTTTCCCATTGACTTTGCTTGTCAGAAGGTTGCAAAATGTGGTCCTATGACCCCAGGACACTGCAACCACTGCAACCTATCATAAATATAAACCAAGTTGCCAAGCATCTGAATTTTGTTCACGTGACTACAGGGATGCTGCAATGTAAATGTGAAAAATGGTTTTTTTTCTAATTTTGAACTGTCACTAAATGAACTGTTGTAAATCAAGGATTGCCTGTATATGCTTTAGCCTTTGGCAACAATAGCCTCAAAGCAAAAGTGCTTCTCTTTACGAACAGGTGCAGAGAGGAGAGAGGGTGAAACCAAAGTGTTCCCCCATAATCTGGTTCTGAGAGTTACAGATTTTGAGAGCCGGCCAGCCAGCACCTACAAGGTATTCTGGATAATATAGCTTGGGAAGCCTATCCATCAAATTAAATTCAGTTGTCTATGTCAGCCCCCCCGCCCAACTTGAACACTTTAAGACTTGTGGACTTCAACTCTCAGAATTCTGGGAGTTGAAGTCCACAAGTCTTAAAGTTGCCAGGTTTGGAGACCTCTAATCTATGTGCTGTATGAATTACCTCCTTTGAACATGTCCCCAGTCTCACACCGGATTGATTCTGGAAACTCTGTCCTGCTCGAAAATCTTGAGTGGGTTCTCACAACTTGGTTAAAACGGTTAGCGTGGTTCCAATCAATGTTTTAAGTGATTCAGGCCACATGTATCACACAACATGTAGCTCACTGCTTTGGACAGACCATGGGCTGCGAATACAGCAATTGCATTTATTAAGCCAGGATTAGGATGCTTGTCAAGCCAGCCTTCAAATTAAGACATGAGGGACCCTGGGCCCTCTCTGTGCTGATCAGAGCCGCTGACAGTTTTGGTAGAATTGTTCATTTCAGCTGCAACTCAACTCCCAGAGGTTCCCCGGGGCTCGTCCTTCCAAACTTGTTATCAAAACAAGGATGGCCGCCCTGACAAAGGAACAGCATGGAGGAAACCCCAGTAATTCAAAAAGAGGGCTGTGAAAATATTTAGATCCTTCACATCCCAGACACAAACTATTTCAACTCCTTCCCTCAAAACGACGCTATAGAGCATTGCACACCAGAACAACTAGACACAAGGACAGTTTTTTCCCAAACGCCATCACTCTGCTAAACAAATAATTCCCTCAATACTGTCCAACTATTTACAAAGTCTGCACTACTACTACTGTGAATCTTCTCATCACTCCCTATCGCCCATCCCCTCCCACTTGTGACTGTATGACTGTAACTTTGTCGCTTGTATCCTTATGATTTATATTGACTGTTTCCTAGTATGATTTGATTGCTTATTGTACCCTGTGACTATCATTAAGTGTTGTACCTTCTGATTCTCGACTCTTGACGAATGTATCTTTTCTTTTAAGTACACTGAAAGCATTTGCACCAAGACAAATTCCTTGTGTGTCCAATCACACTTGGCCAGTAAAGAATCCTATCCTATCTTATCCTATCCTATCCTATCCTATCCTAATTAGTGAGCCAGCCCAGCGTTTTGCAAAGTTCCGTTTAGCTACCAAGAGAGTCTCAGGGCCGAGAATGACACTCCGACCGGTGTGGCAGCGAGCGGTGTAGCATCTTGCCCACCAACTCCTCGGCTGATTCATTAGGGGGCCTCCTCCAGAGCTGGGAACTTTTCGATGCCCGCAAACCAAGTCGGGGTGTTTTCCCTTTCTGTTTGCGTGCACGCACGCGCGATTCTTCAGCCGCCGCCGCCGCCGCCCCCAAGGCGGAAACTCTTACCGCTCGTAGCCTGGTCACAGCAACTCGAGTCTCCCTCCGTCCCTGGTTGGTGGCGAGGCAGAGTCCAACGCGATCAGTCCCTTCGCTCCTCCGGGCCTGAACGGAGGAGGCGGGGTAGCAGCAGCAACTGCAGGCTCTTCCTGGCGCCTGCTTTGGGTCTCTATCCACGCTCTACCCGGGAAGGCGGGAAAGGGAGCGAGCGGCCAATTATAGGGCAAGGCAAAGGGCAGCGCTGCCCTTCTTCCGAGGGACCATCCCCCGCCCTTGGCCCAGGGAGGCAGAACGGCTGACAGACGGTGTGACCTGGCTGAAGGATCCCCGGGAGAATCCTTCTCTCCTCCCCTCAGCTCCTAGCAAGAAAATGGCTATCTGGAGGGTGTGGAATTTTCTTTCTTTCCCCTCAAACATCCCTTGACTGGAAAAGAGATCGTGTAGCCTGCTTTAAACACCAGGCTAGAAACCAGGAGACCGTGAGTTCTAGTGCCAGCTTAGCCATGAAATACTGTCTTTTTCTCTCAGCCCAATTCACCTCTCAGGATTCTCGTTGGGAAAATAGAAGGAGGAAGGTGTGTATGTTCACCACCTTGAGTTATTTGTGAAAATAATAAAGGGATACAAATACCTGCATACATAAATTAATGTGCATCAGGCACATTCTGCTTCCTTTATGTTTCTTTTACTTTTGGGTATAAGTCACAGTGCTTTGTTTTGCTATTCTTTCCACCTTCTGTTTTTCAGTAAAATTGGATGGTGCAATGCCCTTTAATGTAAGTTGTGTTTTGCAGAATAAAACTCTGGATAACATATTAGAGATTTAAAGATTTCTAGTAGAACCTGCAGTAGCTCAGAAATCGGTATTGGCCGATGAGTTTTGCAAGTCTATTATAGCACCACTAGAGGGAGCTCTGATCAGCTCACAGCACAGTACTGTATTGCCTATGTACCAGAACTCAACATTCAGGGACAACAGTGAAGATGAGGCTGATTTGAGAACATTTAGTGGAATTGGAAAACAGCTGTGCTGGTGCTGATTCCATGGACTCTATGATGAATATGCCCTTCATTCTTCTCCTTGGACTTAGCTCTAAAGTAATTTTTAAATTTTTGATTGTTCCAATATTTATCTTTTGTAAGCTACCCAGAGTCATCGGAACAATGAGATGGACAGTTACAAATGGAATAAAATGAATACATAAATTGAATTCACTTGGGACCTGATGGCATAAATTTGAGGAACGTTTACTTTGAAAACAAGAACATTTCCTTTTAGTACTTTGCTAATGGATCTGGCCTCTTTCTTTCAAGGACTTTTTCCTTTATCTCTGCAAATGGGTACTACATCCAATGAACTCTAGAAAAGGGGGGAGATCTCGGTTAATCTGTTTTTGACAGCAGAGGATCTATTTTGTCCCCTCCAAGTTCCATGACTAAAGGATAGAGGGAAATGTGTTGTTTACCTTATGCAAAGTGGCCTTCTCTACATCTTCCTGCCAACACCAAACCTGTCCAGGTAGCATGCAAGATAAAGATGCTCAAGAGTTAAAGTAATCTGACCCAGAGGTCATGGTATTCAATCTTAGTGGAGATGAGGCAAGTGCCTTAGAGTCATGTGTGAACACAAAGCAGATCCAAAGTGGTTATGAGCTGTATCTGGAGGACAAACAGAGGCATATGTTCTATGCTGGCATATCAAACTAGAGATTGTTTTGGTAACTAGACATCCCACTACAAGGGAACTATATCAGAAAACCTGAACAATATTTGAATGGCGGTGTAGAAAAGGAATCTTATAGAAATAACACAAGGAACTGGAATTTCTGAGATTTTTACAAGCTGGATAGGCAAGGAGCAGCTGTAAAATATCCTGTGGAATACTGACTTGTAGTCCATTTTTCTGGACAATTGGGAGAGGCTCTTTCAGGGCACCCCCTATGCATGTTGGTTTCTTAAAGGCACAAATTTCATCTCCTAATTATCATTGGATTTTACGTCACTTTTCAAGGAAGTGATCATGTTCCCTTGTGTGCATTAAACAGTTTCCAATGAATATTCTTGGTGAGAAAATGTGTTTCCTAGTTACTCTAAGTCCAGCCAAGAGGGTTAGGAAATTCCTGTGAGGGAAGATTTATCTTTTTTACCAAGTTAAGGTGATGTTACCATGTTTCTCATAAAATAAGGCCACGTCTTATATTTTTCGGAGCCCCCCAAAAATGGCTAGGCCGTCTTTTCGGGGGTGACTTAATCCCCCCCCCTTGCATCCTCATCTAGAGCGCCCTGCGGGCAGCCTCGCCACCAGCTGCTCCTAACGGGTGATCATGGCAAAGTGCAGAGAGCTCCCTACTCCCACCAAACACCTTTGCTGCAGTCCCAAGACCTTTGGCACCCGCTGCTGTTGCTTTCCCTTCTGCCCATTCCGCTGCCACGTTTGGAGCTGCCGCTTCCATGTTTGGAGTGCCGCTGCCATTTGGAGCACCGCCGTCATGTTTGGAGCTGCCGCTTCCGTGTTTGGAGTGCCGCCGCCGTTTGGAACACCGCCATCATGTTTGGAGCTGCCACTTCTGCGTTTGGAGCTGCCGCCGTGTTTGGAGTGGCGGCGGTGCTCCAAATGGCGGTGGTGCTCCAAACATGGAGCGGCAGCTCCAAACGCGGACATGGCAACTCCAAACAGCGGCAGTGCTCCAAACAGCGGTGGGGTTCCAAACGTGGAAGCGGCAGCTCCAAATGCGGAAGCGGCAGCTCCAAACAGCAGCAATGCTCCAAACAGCAGTGGTGCTTCAAATGTGGAAGTGGCAGCTCCAAACGCGGCGGCGGCATGGGCAGAAGGGAAATCAACAGCGGCAGGCGCTGAAGGTCTTGGGTCTGCCACAAAGGTGCTTGGCAGGAGTAGGGAGCTCTCTGTGCTCTGCCATGATCGCCCATTAGGAGCAGCTGGTGGTGAGGAATTGCTGCCCGTGGGGCGCTCCTAACAGCAAGTCCGCCCGCCCTTCCCCCCATTTTGCATGTTTTAAAATAGGCCTAAATTTGGGGGGAGGGGCTTAATTTCATTTTATGCCTACAAAACATGCTGGGTCTTCCTATTGGGGGAGGTCATATTGTTGGAGAAACGCGGTAAGTTCAAAACCATCTCTCAGACCTCAGGTGGACTCTAATTTTTATAGGGCACAAGATTCCATATAAACCTTGTTCTATGCCTATGGTGAATTCCAATATTAATTTTGGTTCCAAATTTCTGCCAAATCCTTTGAAGTGCTCAGAAGTTGGCATAAGCTAGATATGTACAGGACCTTCAGAACTTACATCAAGCACATCCAAGGGTGTGTCTGCTCATTTCCTCTTGGGCAAATGTTTTAGAAAGATGAGTAATAGCTTTCTCCTTCAGCAGATGGGTTAAGGAATGCATCACACTGGCCTATTCAGCAAAGCTACCCAGGGCTATTATTGTTCCCATGGGCAGATAAATTATCAGCCCTGTCACCAAGGGCTCTCCTGGATGGATGGTGACATAGTCCAGAAGCATCAACCCTCATGAAACATTATAAAAAGACAAGTTTGAATTTGCAGAGGCAGCTTATGTTCTGTCAGGGCTTCCTTAACCTTTTTTTCTCATCCCCAGGTTACTTCTTTTCTGGTTGGCTCTGTCTTCTTTTGGGTGCTCGAGAATGCCACTTTGGACAGGACTTATGAGGTCACCAAAGATGGACCTGACTGTCCCAACCTTGCAAGGGCTTAGTAAGTATCTTTATATTTACCATATTTATGCTCTAAAATGAACAGTGAACCATCTGATCATCATGTAACATATGCTAATTTACAGCTAATTACATCACTTTCTAATCTACATCACTTTCTGTCTAATTAATAAAACTTAATTTAGGCTCCTTTCATTGAAATCAGTTCATGCAACGGAGGGGTGGCAAAAAATTTGGGACCTGCCTTTTAGTAAGATGTCAAGTTATCACCAGTGTTGTAATGACGAGGCAGTCAAGGTGTTTGATCATAATCAAATGAATCATGATGAACTTTATTGTAGTCTTGCATTTATACACATTTTTAGTAATCCTCTAACATTGGTTAACTTTGGATTCTGCTTAACTTTAGTTACTGTTTAGCATAGTAATTAATTATCTCTAGTTAAAGTCTAACATATGTTTACTTCCTCTCTCTAATCCTCCTTTACATTAGTGATTTTGTTTGCCTGAGTTGTATTTGCTTTGTAAACATTCATTACCTGAGGTTTGCCATCAAGATAATAACATTCCTGCAATTACAATTCTATACACACCAGCAATCAGATCCATCTTAGGCGAACAAGACACTTCACAGTGAACCGGCCTATTCTATTTGGCTGCACCCAAGCATATTTGATCCGTGATTATAACAGCATCTTATGTGCAGATGCAGACAGTCTGACACTCGCTTCTCTTAGTTACGCTTGGTTTTTTATATATATATGGGAAATCCCGATTCTTAATTTGACACCACTAATCCCACTCATCCCCAACAATTATGTTGCAACTATTAGCGACTGCGCTCCTCTTGGGTTCAGCAATGTTCCGCGGTGAAAAGCACATCTCAGAAGATCAACCCTTTTTTTTAACCGCTGCTGTGCGCCTTTGCAGGCACGTCTCACTCCCTCTCCCCCCCTCCCCCCGCCCGTGTTATTGACCCGGAAATCCCCCAAGATTCCCCCCTTCAACCCCCTCCCCCCCCCCCCCCCCCCCCCCCCCGTTTTTGCCGCCGCGAAATGGTATATTCAAACCAATCAGCAGCCACTTTTTTCCCGGTCCCCCCACCCGCCGTTCGAATGGTTTGTCCTCCGCCTTAAAAGAGACCGCGTGGAAGCGTCTCGCCCTTTTCCTCGCTGTCGCGGTTGACGTTGGAAGGAGGTGAGAGGTTTTATGGTGCCCCAGAAAAAGTGTGTGAATTGCGGGGGTGACGGGTCTGTCCTTGTCTGGGCCTTTTGCGAGCCAACGTTATCCCTTTGTTTTTGTTACCCGGCGGCCTGTGGCGCCTCGCGTGGGCCAAGAGTGAGCCTTTAATTTTTTCCCTTCGCGGGATGATGAAGCCGAGATAGGAAGTGCCGTCAGATGCGAGAACTGACGAAAGACTCCTCGTGGCTGACCGCAAGTTGCCCTTCCCTGCTATTTCTTCCTCCCGAGACGGGCCTAGGTTTAGTCCAGACAAAAAAAACGGAGGAAGAGGAGATAGGCCCAACCTCCCACCGCCATTACAGAAACCTTTTTTAAGGTGCTTTCTCATCTATCTTACCTTGCATTGTATTGCAGGCTTTCTTCCGCTGCCATGTGGGAACTGACTTCAAAAAACAGTGGAAAGGACCAGTATGTAGAGTTGCGGGAGGAACATGCAAAGGTAAATTTAAAAGCCTCTGAAGTTGGATAATATGGAAGGAAGGCTCACAGTGATGATATAAAACCTTATATATGCTGGAATTACCGGCAGACTTTTGCTGTTGAGATGGTTCTTTCTGAGGAGTCTCTATGGAGGGAAAGCCATTGTTCTCTCTATTACAAGCCTTTTTTCATTACAAGCCTGCCTTCTTTTCAGGGAGCCAGAAGCTGCCCTCCAAGATGAGTGATCGTGATTGAAATGCCAACTCTTACCTGGAAAGATGTAAGTCAAATGGATAATTATTGGCTTGTAAGGATGTGTGCAACGTGCAAAAATATTTTGAACCCAGAGCTATTATATCAGGTTCTGTTAAATAAATCAGATTTGATTCTGGATTTCAGGCAGTTTAGAATCAGGACAAGATATAATTTAGTTGCTGGGCTTCAGTGGAAATTTTGCGTGTTAAGTTTTGATAATGCTAGATAATGTCCTTAAGCAACAACTGGGATACAGATTTTTCAAACAAGCACAAGTAAGGTGTCACACTCCCATTATCATTTGCACCCAAAAAGATCCATTCCAGCTACATATTTAAAATTAAGTTTGATTTTTTTGTAAGTCCTTCGCTTTTAGCCAGGTTGGATATTATGCCTTCAGCAGTCCTTCCTGGGGTTCTTTGGTTATGTCCATGTGGCAATGGGTCAATAGAAGTTCTAGGCCATATACTATTATACTGTTCCTTATATAAAGTATCTATAGATTCTAGACAGACCCTTACATATCCTGTCTTGAAAAAATTTCCAGATAGGAAGCGCAATTTCTATTTTAATACTAGTACTCAGATACAAGGATATGAAAATAGCCTCTCAAGTTCTGTGCTACCATTTCTACAGTATGCTGTACCATTACTTAGGATTGGAGCTGATTTTATTTGGGTTCATTTTATTAACCATGTTTTAATTTTAGGCTCCATTATATTTAATGTTTCTCTCACATGTTGCACACGGATGTAAAACTTTATTCAATATTGCTTGTATCTGGCATTGGGACTAATAAAATTTGAATTGATAATCTGGATAAGGCAAGATTTTTTTCTTGACTTTCCTATTTGAGAGAAAACATGGCATCTATTAATTTTTTAAATAATTACTTTATAAATAATTGAATGCAACAAACATTCCTAATGTTCCTTCCCATTTTCCCCAGAATAACATCCCTGTGAGAGGGGTTGGGCCAAGAGAGCGACTGGCCCAACATCCTGCCAGCTTGCGCACCTAAGCTGGGACTAGAATTCAGTCTTGTTTTCTAGGGCTTCATCTTAACTTACTATATTAAACTAGTCTGGCAGCAGGAATTCCCAATTCTTTTTCTTTCTTTAGGTTTCTCTAATCTTCAAAGATGGAAGTCCATCCAGATTTCGTTGAAGAGGCTTGTACACTATTTGTACTGCTATGAACGTGGTTAAAATTAGACACCAGATTTGCATTATTTTAGTTGAGAAGTGAAAGATTTTAGAAGAATACACTTCTAAGATGATGCATGGAGAGGTAGGTAGGTATCTACTTCGTCCATTGGGTAGCTGAGACCCCATCTAGTAACTGGACAATTTGAAAAGCATTTTCAGATAAACATACTAAAAGAGATCTGTACATTTTAATGTTGGAATTTTAAATGTATTTTGGTGGGATTGATTTCTGCATCTTATTTTCAAAGGGCTTTGTTTGCCCAGGAATACTAATTAGGGATATTGTTCTTCTCCCTCAAGTTTGTTATAAGTGTTCACAAACTTCATATAAGAAGCCATTAATACAAGTAAAAAGTGCTTCAATGTTGTTAACCAATTTGTAAAATCTTGTTTCAGGCTTGGACAAACATTACTACAATTCAGTGCACTCAAGACTACAGAATGTGTCCATTTTTCTCTTGAGACCCTATGAAGACCTACATATTGGGGCAAAAAGTATTTTCTGAATTATTGTGGCAGTAAACTTACAAACTAACTCCTCTTCCCTTTGTTGTACACAATGAATGGGTCCAGTTTCAGAGCCCTGCAGTTGGCAGGGCTTAAAAATTCATCTTGCACCTCTTACAACAGCAATCTCAAAGGTATCCAGGCCCTGGGCCATCTAGGACTTCAGAGGTAACATTATTTTGAATGTATCCATAGACCAACTGATGGCTGGTACAGCTCCTAAAACAGTATTAAGGAGTCTTAAACACACTCCAAACCTATGAAATACTGGCCTTGCCGAAGGTTCTGGGTGGCTATATGGAAAATGAGTGGTACTACTGATAAGTTCCATCTGTTAACAGTTTCTGTTACTTTTCTGCAGGCTTTAAGTTTTTGTTTTACTTAATCCTGTAGATAATCTGTCCTTTAAAATGCCTGTTGAAGTTATATGAAAAAATAACACCATTTAAATTGTGAAATAAGACTACAGTGCAGCTAAGCCTAAAAAAAAATGAGCTAAAGAAATTGCAAATTTACAGTTTCATGACACCAGTATTGTTCTGCTTCTGTCAATTTTTTACCTAATGGAAATCCATGCAGATTATGGCATCTCTTCTGCCATTGTTTATCAATGTTACTGTGACTTGAGTTGGAGGTTCTCTGAAATATTTTGTTTCCTAAATATTCCTTTTATGATTGCTTATATCTAAAGATAGAAATGGAGGCGTGAGGAAACTTGGATATTGCCACCTGGCACATGTGGGTTTTTATTAAGACACGCACAAAATGTTAATTTTGTATAAGCAAATGCACTTAAGCAATTGCTTGTCTTGAGAGTGTAATTATGCTTCATAAACAGATGCACTGAATAATGCTTATTGTCTTAATTTTTTTCCTGGAATTGTGAGCTGGGCTACTAGTTTCCTGTAGGTGGGGGCAAAAGTCTTTTGCACTATTAGACCAACTCCATAGAAGGAATTAGTTCCAGTTGCAGATTTTGAGTTGCTTTACATCTCATGTGAGTTTCTAGTTTCCTGATCATTGCAGTTAAGGGACATAAAAAGTAAAATAATACTTTTATTTTATCTCCCCCCTTTTAAGAAAGCCTCCCTATGTTTATATTCAGGCTATTCATTTGACATTAAAAAAAACCCAAGAAAACTTTAACCAAGCCTCCATATTGTGTTCTGGATTAATGGGGTTGAAGTGACAGCATAACTTGATACTCCAGGAACGATGATGCTCAAAATCTACCTTCCTTGCATAATTCAGTGTAATGACTGCCCAACCCTGCTCAGCAGTTGCACAAGATTTAGCCTCCCATTCCTGCAAATACACCAAGGAGAAACAGCCATCTTTCAAACAAGTTTTATTTCTGACAAAGCATATAAAAGACTTTGGCTACATGCAAAGTAGGACAATATGGAGATGCTGATTTCTATGAAGTACCAGATTAACACTACCAAAAACATACAAATACTCAAAATGGGCACAACAGCAGTGAGGTTTTAAGGGAAAAAACACATTCTGAAAATTGATCATGATGAGCTGTACCTCCTCCCTAAAGTAGATTAATCCTAGCAATTACAATCTGAGCCCAGTCTGAAAGGTTCAGCTGCTCTTCAAACCTGCCAGGATGAAGTGCTTTTGATTTACCGAAACCATACTGTTGAAAGCTCACAAGAGATTGGCGTGATAGTTAATTTGGGCAAGATTCTTCATGGGTAGCTCAAAAGAATAAAGCCAGCATTTACTTCATGACAGTCAAGTGCTGCAAAGGGTTGGTGACTAAATATGTAATCCAGGTACCTAAGAACATCAGGAAAAATTGACACTATCAAGCTGAATTGATTCTATTGTCTCTTCTACGGCACAGTGATGAAATCCAGAGTAACTGAAAGCAGCTACACTTTTTCCACAAAGTGTAATTATAGCAACCTGCAACAAATTTCATCCCCTGGTGCCTAAAGCCAAGGCCTTGCTAACCCTTTAGTACCATCAATTCACACTCTTAAAGCAAGGGAATGGGGACTTTTTCATTTAGACTGGTTTGTTTGCTTTATGAACCAATGTAATCTGTCATCTATCAATGAATAGTATGTCTTGTATTCAAATTATTTCATTCTGGAGACAGTTCAGAAGGGGCAAGTTTTTCAGCCCTGCTGACTCACTGCTTTTGACTTATAAAAATTACGTCTGAAGACCAGCAATCTTGTAGCACCTTAAGACCTTACAAATAAAACTCATGGATTACAGCCAAATTCATCAGATTCATGGCATAACCTGAGATAGGTACACATCCATGGCTTACTCAGAACAGGAGACAAATTGGTTGCGAAAGAATGAAATGCAGAAGGTACAGTAATGATGGTTACCTTCTTGGCAGTGATTATTCAGTGAGACATTCAAACTTGGTGAGTTGATTAACATCTTTCTGTTTAATCCATGGGATTAATTTTGTTTCTATCCAAGCGTGGACTTTTCCCACCTAAAGCTTCTATTCAAAGTAATTCATTTGGAAAGTAAAAACTCGAGTACAGAATTATTTGTACTGGTATACCTAATGAAAATTCTAATTAGTGTATTAAGTGTTTAACCTGCCTGGAAAAAAAATAGGCTCAATAGTGGCATTGCATTTTTGTGTGTTTTTTATACCTTCAACATTCAACTAGCAATCATCCCTGTAATAACTATAAGGTTTCAGGAATTAAAGAGATGCTTTGATTTGGATACTGCACTGAGCAAGAAGTTGGAATTGGCGTAAATCCTTTCCAGAATAATTCTATATAATGGTTCAAATTGTAGCAGATCATTAATATGTGAATTGCAGCCAACTTTGTAATTTGGCCTTTTTTGGTCCTGCAAGTTAAGGAATTAAAAAGTTTTTATTAGAAGAGAGCTTAATTAGCATAAACTAGCCAAGATCCTTTGTGGTTATAAAGGATCCATTTGGCACAACCTAGGCAAATGAGAGACACTTATTTCATGTCTGAAACAAACAGGTAGAAATCTGTTCTTGATTTGTAGGTTCATTTGGCAGCAGCTTAACCTCAACAGCTTCACCTGTCCATACCTGCCTGGTCTTAGTGTCTTCCAGGCCACCATCATTTTGGTCCTCATCCTGTGATGAAAGACCTTCTTGGCTCTCAAGGTCACTCACCTGACTTTCACCAAATTCAAGAATAGTTGGGAGATTGCTTTGGGTAGGGCTTCGTTTCTTAAGGCTAACCAGAAAAGGTTGTGGCAGAGAGAATATGTCCACATTATTGCCCAGATCAATCCAAGTCATGCTGGGGAAGTTTCTGGTATCCTTCAAAGCTTCAGTCAGGTCCCGGAGGATGGCTTTTGTAAGCCTGTTGCCGTTAAGGGAAAGAGTTGTAAGACGAGGTAGGGCACCGAGAACTGGCAAAAGCTGGAGGAACATTTCATCTGTCAGCTCAGTGAAGCAAAGCTCCACATTTTCAATATACTCCGAGCTGTGCTGGATGTATGAGATAACCCGGTCTAATTCCTTCATGGTCAAAGGGATGCCAGACAAGTCCACTGTGTTGTCCAGAGGATTCCCCACCAAGATAGTTTTCAAACTGCAAAATAATGAAAAATGGACATTATTGATTTCCAGTTTATCTTAATAGTTGTCAATTCTGACCAGGAAAATGATTTTGACAATAGCTTTAATAATTCAGCTGGGAGTAAATGGAATAAATCCATCCAAGGCAGTAATTTTTCTAGGGGATATTGCAGTCAAATGTATTAATACCCAATACCCAATGACTAAATCAATAGCATTTATTGGATTACCAGCCCATTTTGGGAGTTTGCACAATACAAAGAGCTATTAAACAAATAGGTCGGATTTGCAATCATTCACACAAAGCAATGTTAAAATTAACTGCTTATATTATGTAAATTCATAGTCATTGTTCTTTTGGGGAACGTTTGTTCCATAAACACAATATTTATATTACAGGCCTATATATACCTGGAGGGTGGAAAGAGATTCATTATGAGATGCATCGGACATAACCATATTCTAGGAAATCATTTTGTTCAATAAAATTCATACCAACAGGACAAATAAAGGAGCAAGCCTATTAAGTAGTGGTGTCTGTTTAAAATAGGGAACCATACAAGGAAAGCAGATTGTGTCTAAGGCTTTTAAAGGGCATCTAGCAATATAAAGTTTAATAAAGGCACAGGATTACTAGTGTCAAATACTTGAAAGGGTGATATTTTAAATTCAAAATATCTTCCCTATCCTAGAGTGTAGGATGCACAATACAGCTGCTGTATCACACAATAAGCTACTTATGGTAGCTTCCAACCAAACTACGAACTTCATTTGGGATTTTTGTCTTAAACGGTTGGGGGAGAAGGGGGACAAAGGTCCAAGGGAGTGCAAGTTTTGCTTGTTTCTCATTACATTAACAGACTTATTATTGAGTCATAAAATCTGAAATTACCATCTGAAATTAGCTACTTTCCCCCCATATATTGTACATGGATAATGGGCTGGCATAGAGCTTGCCTCCTTTGGTGGGGAGGAAAAAAAACCTTTAGTGACTCATACCAAAAGGAGTGAAACCACTGCATTGCAACAAGGTGAGGATCATAAAACATTCTGCTTGCAGAAACAGCAATTCAGAAATGCAAGTAGAAAAGAAAAGAAAAACATGAAAACCTTTCTAGAATCTTTAACCGATACTAGCAGAGACCTTCAAGTCAGAAAATATAACAGCATGAGGAAGATAAATTAGATTTCAGTGTTCTGAATTCATAACAAATTTCTAGAGTTTTACTAGCACTTCTTGGAGGGCTCTGTTTAGATGCTTTAGTAAATATATCAGAGATTTAGTTAATAGGTCAAAACTCATTTTACTTGTTTCTTTGCTGTGAGACTCCCAACAGTTGCATCTTATCTCCTAGTTTTAAATAATGTACAATAAAATCTACTCTCGGTAATTGTACATCCACAAACAGGTGCAAAAATAATTTTAAAATCTTAAATTCATAGCAGCATTAGAATACCCGGTGGACTTTATTTCCTCTTAGTCTATAAAAATTACAGTCTTCCAGATGTTACCAAATAACCATGGCCAGCATAATCATTGGTAAAAGATGCTGGACATTAGTTCAGGAACATGGAATTCAACACACATTATCCACCGACATGTTACTTTAAGGCTGTGCCAATCTGAAACACCAATATTAAAATATAAATACAGCTTTGTATCTATTTTTAATTTGGCAAAGTTGAAACTGCAAGAACTAGAATTGATTCAAAGGTGCGTGCGAGCACACACACAAGCAGATGAAACCTGGAAAAGGATCAGAAATGATAGGTTTAAGATATTTATCTCAATGTTATGACACCAATAAGAAATAGAAGTCTTTATTTATAATGAATGCTATCAAAGATTTTTCTCTTTCTACTTTCATGTTTATATTTTCTGATTGAAAATGAATGCAAAAATTTCTTCATAGAAATCGCTTCTGATTATAGGTTTTTCACAGTTTCAAAATTTTGGTACAATCTGAAAAAAAAACCTGTCCGAAGTATATCTGGTTCCCTTTAAATTAGGGGGGGAAATAACCCAAACCACTGAAGAAGTGGCAGAGATATCTATACTGATCAACAGTAAAACTTCCCTGAAATCAACCTGATTCCTAGTGGAATTTTGGACACATACATGTGGCTTTTCTTTTCAACAATACAATGTTTTGCTACGGCTATCTTTTAGCCTCCCACACAAATGCTAATGAGTCCCAACCCTGCTTAGTTTACAAATTAAGACAAGGTGCACAATAAAATAGAATAGAATTCTTTATTGGCCAAGTGTGGTTGGACACATAAGGAATTTGTCTTGGTGCAAATACTCTCAGTATACATAAAAGAAAAAATACATTCATCAAGAATCTTAGGTAGTATAGTAAAACTCTAAAAAGGTAATATAGATATTTATCTATGTTTATCTACAAAAGTATAGGTTAGCTAAAATTCAGGAACTGTGATACATTGAAAATTTTTACATTACTGAATATAAAAATCTTAAGCACATAGTATAAGTATGGATATGTAAGGCCAAAAAGAAGGTCATTTCATTGTTGCATTAGATTCCTATTTATTCCTTTGTTGGAATAATATTTAACCTCAAATGCATTTTGTAGATCAACTTCACCAGTTTGTTCTTTGGCAGACATCCAATGTGAGGCTAAGATATCTAAAAGGATCACTTTGTTCTATATCGACCTGCTTATTATTTATGACTCATCATAAATTTCATAAATTCTATCAATTTAATAGATTAGCTTGGCAGGTGGTTGAAAAAGGATCTCTGATAGCAAAGTACAATGATTGTAAAACCTCTATGCAGCAGGTTTTTTTTAGATACTAGCAGGGTTTTAAACATAGTATGGTGTTTTGTCACCATATAATATTAATGTAATTATCTAATTTCATTGTATGATTTTTGCTCTTATAGGGTTTTATTTTGTTTTTTTATAAAGTGTTTACTGTACAGTATTGAATGTTTAATGAGTAGTACTATTCACATGGAAATACTGATTAAAGCAGAAATAGGAAAGCCAATAACCCTAAATTATTAATTGAATTTCAATTTCTAACATTTTTCATTGTTGGCTAGGGTTTTATGAATTGTAGTTTAGTAACGTTTGGAGAAATCCTGGACTTCAGTTTAAAATGAAACATTATAAAGTAATGTTTTCTTGGTTCAATTTCTTATATACAATAAACATGTTTAGTTAATGCGTATGGTTTATATTAAAACTTCTTTGTATTTAATTAAAAACATAACTTATTGAAAACTTTCAGGGAAGGTCCTGCTATATTTATAACTCAGATTATAAATCTACAGAAACAAAACTGTTTGCTAATGTTATTTTTAAACTAAAGTACTATCTTGCCTTGTTGACAACTAAAAACTAAATACCAGAATTATGAAACATCTGCAAGCCCATATTCTGCCAAGATTTAGAAATGTATTGTCCTAGGAGAAATTTCAAAATGTTTGCAATTACGAGAGGAAAAGGGTGATTTCTAAAAACAAATAGAAATTAATCTTTTGATGTATCTAGACTAAGATTAAAATAATATAGGGGAAGTAGGTGTAAAAATATAATCATAAATAATCATTCTTATAGGAGCCATTGGCTTCTTGCATTTTACCCAATAAATAAGCAACATCTCTTAAAAATAATAATGGAAAAGAGAGATTTACTGTGTGTATGTATTACATTCTATAAACTTGATTTTTACAGCTCTAAGCCAGTACATTTCATTTCTCCTTTTTAATCTTCCTTTGAACAGAGCAGTAGCTGTTGGAAAAAACAACTTCAGGTTTATGAGAGAGGTGAATCCATTATATCCAAGAGAGAAGTGAATCCATTATATCCAAGGCTAAAATTGTGTACACACAAATAAGATAGTTATGACATAACACATAAATATTTTCAACCATGGAAAAAGCCACAGATCACCAAACTGGTTTAATGACCCTTGTCTTCACAGATTCACTCACACTAATATAGAAATAGAATAGGCTTTGGCTGATTTACAAAACAGAAAGACGCAACCATTTTGAAAAAAAATAATGCTCAGCTGGTGTTTTGTAACCTGTACAGCACTGCTTTCTTCCAGGCAAGAAAAAGCAAAATACTACTTTACATCAAGGGTGAGCTGCTGGTGGTTCGCAGGGGTTCGGGAGAGCCCCTAGCTAAGATTCTGCGCAGTTCAGAGAACCTCCAAATCCCATTCCTGGCTGGCCCCACGCGCCCTCCCCCTCCCCCTCCCAGGAGTCCCCATGTGGCCACTTTTGGATGCAGGTAAGTGCATGGCGTGCACAAAGGCTTGGGGAGAGCGAAAAACGGGCCTCCTGGAAGTACGAGAAGGCTGAAAATGGGCCCGTTTCTGGCTTCCAGAGAGCCTCCGGAGGCTGTTTTCGCTCTCCTAGAGGCTCAAGGAAAGCTTCCAGAGCCTGGGAGGACAAAAATGCCCCCCCCCCCCACTGTACCGCAGGAGGCCAACTAGGCCATGCCTACTATGACCATGCCCATTCAGCAACCGGGCAGCGAACCCTTTACTAAAAATTTTGAAACCCTTTACATGCATTATCTACCCTACTTCTTCATGTACAGAGATACCCTACTATTGCTGAACGCTGAAACTTTTCAACTGCAAGAATTGATTTGGGGGGGGGGGGGGCTTGTTGGCTGCCAGATTTCATTAAATGTTTTCACAGAGTAATCAAATTAAAAGCTACTTGAAGGTCATCCAGCCCAACCCTCTGCTTTGCCTATGCAGGAGTTTCTTTGTCTTCCAACAGGGAGGATGGGTGTTTCAACAATGAAGGGTTTTTTTTTTTGAAGAAAATAGAAAGATTAAGCTCCTTCCCTCACAACAATCTCCTTTGAACTGAGAGTCCCGTATCTGCTTTCCTTTGAAAAAAGAAAAGAGAGGGATTGGAGTGGATTTACTCTGACTACAGCTGCAATTTCAAATCCATCAATTTTGCTGAGCTGCACTCAATGGGCTCCATAAAGACTAATTATTTTTCTCCCACCTGCT